AGAAGTGATGAAGCCTCTATTAATGAGATGCAAAACGTCTTTACAAACCTGGTGAAAGTGAATGTAAGAAAATTCACAGGAAAAGCTACAGTGTGCTGGTTTAAGCTGTGAAACACCTGCTACTGTTTAAATGCTGCCTGTGGTCATCAGCCTTCCCAAAGACAAGACTCCACTGATTCATTTACAGAATCTGCAGGCACCACTATTTCACGTAAGATGTCTGCACACTCTGTTTGCACATTCTGCACTGCATTACTACGCAGATCTGTGAATAATTTAGCATGCATATTGGTCACCACACAGTCCAGTTATGAAGCAGCCTTTTCCCTCAGAAATCATACATGATTCACGGACAGTGTGGAACATCTGGGGGCAAAATTTAGGGAAATGTTTTGAGCAGGCTACAGTTGAATGAATTAAAGTGTATTTCCAGTGCGTGTACAGTAAAACAAGCACCGGTCTACACGGCATTACGCACGGCGTGTGTCTTGGCCACGAGGCATCCAGAGAAACTTTAAACATATTTCAAGCCGCTTACCTCTGTCCTCTATGCTGTCATTTATCTTCATCTCTTGGTCCATTTTAAAGCCCTCTGCGTGATTTTCTGTGTTGGGCTGCTGCTGTAGAGAGTCCGCCTGCTCGCACCGTCCGTTTACCACCGTGGGGTCCACAACTACAGCTGGGTCCGGGACAGTGGTGGAGTCTGGCGGTGTGGGCTCTGTCATCTTCTCGGTGGGGGGTCGCGGTTCCATTGAGGCACTCCACAAATGTCTCACCTGGGTGAGAAGCGCAGGCTTGCAAACAGACAGAGACCCAGAGACAGACAAGGAGGGAGGGAGACTTCTCACAGTGTGCCGAGCCAGTTGCGCCAAATTACATACAATCAGGCGAAATCGTACCGGAAATTAGAAGTTGTACATTTCAAAACAAAAGCCTTTTTGGAACCCTATTGGAGAAAAAAAGTGTTGTTGTTTTTTGGTTAAAAATAGACAGTAACGTTGAATATTTCATATACTTTTTTATTTGATATCAATTAACTATCATCATGCTATTGTTTTAGACTGCAGTCTGCTCCACAAAGGATTTGCTACTTTTTGAAGCATTCTTTTTTTATTTCCTGGCTGTGCTTTTCACTATTTCGACAGCATCTCTGAGCGTAATATTGTACTTTTTTTTACTTCACTTTTTCTAATATGACAAGTAGCAGTTGCTAGCTACTGTAGCACTTCAGATTAAAGCATTAAAGCCACTGAACCTACGCTATAACACATTGTTATAAACTGACCTATACTGGGGGGATGAAATGGTTAACGTTAACCCGCCCTCGCCTAGAAGCACTTAAATACTGTTTTTCCTTTTTCCTATACATTAGCTACAATAGGCTGTGTAATAATAATATGTAGCTTTAGACTCTTAGTTTGCTGACATGATTTAACAAGCCAGGTTTGGGTAGGTAGTTTTAACTGAGCAACAGTAGGTATTTGCTAATTAATTCAGCCTTATAAGTTAGTTCCCAAACAAGAGATGAGATTTATTTCGAAAGTGTTTGCCGGAAGTGGTTTGTGTAAGAGCTGACACGCTTGACAGAAAGATGTTGCGCACAGTCTGGACGAGACGTAGGAGACGGAATATTCACATCAGGCTCCGATTCGCGACTTTGTGACAGATAGCCGCACCTGGACTCTAATTACTAGTTACACTGGTCACGAGACCAGTGCTCGTGCTGCAGCTCAAAAGTGCACTTACCGCCGCGCTCTGCACTGCGCTTTCGCGAGGAAAACATCTGTCCCATGTGGATTCAACGAGCTGACGGATGTGAACGCATGCAGATAGTGGTGGACCTGTCATACACCTGTCACGTACACTACATAGAAAAGAAAATAATAACACAAGCTTACTTTTCCATATGGATTTTTTATTTGTAACCGAGAACTGAGAAAAGGATGTGCGTATTTATATATTTATATTCAACATGATAACGGGAATGCCTCTAATGCGTTCATGCTCAGGAAAAAGCAGAAATATGTAATACAATATATTTATAGAGCAGTTCCCACCGTATGAGCTCTTTCGGCCACTCACACATAAGAAATATTTAGGTATGGGTCAGAAGTAGTCAGTTTAGCCTGTTTGTGTAAGATTGGATTTCACATTTAACTTAAGTAGAAATATAATCATCAAATACATATTCTCGTCAGGGTAATCTGACCACTAAGTACTTGTTTGCCATTGTGAATGTGTGACAATCATGGTGACATTTTTCTTTAGCAACCACTGGCTCTTAAATAAATAGTTATTTTACTTTCATTGAAATTATTTTTCTTTCTGATTAGTTTTGATCTTATCAAGATGTTTGTTTGGTCATACTTTCTTTTATTTTATTGAACTTATTTAACATATAGGCTAGTGCGAGTTTAGCACATGTACAACATAAAAGACTTATTATAGTAAAGTTGTTGGACTTTTATTTTGAAAGAAAAATAGAATCGCTGCAGCATGTTTGGATGAACATTGCGGTTTTATCTATTTGTTTTTATTTTTGTTACTTTTTACTAAAACAAGACTATGCATTCTGTGAGCAAAATGCTATTCCTAACAATATTTGTAAATCTAGTAACATTTCTATTTTTATTATATCTTTCTCTCAGGCTTTCAGTTCTATTCTTGGTCTCTGCTTCCCTTTAGTGGAGGATGTAGAGTAATACAGCTTGTGTTCTACTGAGTGTGATGTTAGTTAGTGATTTATATATA